GAATTATGTATATATATATAAATAAAAGAGTATAAGAGTACTTTAACCTGTTATAAAATATTATTTATTTCAACAACAGTGAAACAAGAGAAAAGCATCAATTATATTCTATGAGGTCACACACGTCAATCATGAGGTCACACACACGTCAGGCCAGCACCCATTGCAGTACGATGTCAATTATTTTTCCCGTTTGTCCTTTAAGCCCACAAGATCCAGAATTTTTTTTGTGGTACTTGCTTAAAAAGTGGCCGCTTTGATCACTTCCCCTTCATCTCCTCCCATCTCTGCATCTCCATCACCACCGTCTCCGGCGATGGACTCTCCAAATGCAATCACTCTTCTATTCCTGCTAGTCTTGATCCCCTTCGCCACTGTTGCTCCGTCTGCTGCTCCGCTTGCTGCTCCCCTTGCTGCTCCGTCTGCCGCTCCGCTTGCTGCTCCGTCTGCCACCCAGCCTGCCGCGCCGTCTGCCGCGCCGTCTGCCGCCCCATCGGCTTCTTCATCAGGTACATGTCCATTCCTATTCTCTACTAAACGATCAATTCCCTAGCTCGGCGGGGCTACTTCATTTTACTTTTTATATCGGGATTGAATCGAATTCTGGCCTGTTTGGTGAGAGACACAGCTTATTAGTAAAAGGGTTTTTTTTTTTTTTTTTTTTGAATATGAGAAAATTGAGAAAATGAGAAAATTTTTTAAATAAATGGTGGAGGTACACTTCTAATTTTTTAAATTCAAGTTTTTAAATTTGATAGCAAATTATCATGTTTGTTGGATTGATCCATAAAAAAATAGTTGATAGAGAGAAAATTAATAAGAACAATTATTAAGTGTGTTTAATAGAAAGAAAATTGTAAGAGAATTTTTTTTCTTATAGAAAAGTGTACGGAAAGTTTGCCTTAAAACTAAATACCCCTAAATGGAAGGGTTCGTGCGTGGTGAAGTTTATCTGTCAAAGGGTTCGTGCCGGTATCAGCCATATTATGCAATCACAATTGAATTCTGAGAGAGATTCTATGGCTGTGAATTGTGAGAGGTATTGAGGGCACCAAGTTGAATATAGGATTTGGAAGGTTGCGTCAATTTAGGGAAATGAAATGCAAATGAAGAAGCATTAATTTCGGAGGCATTTCATTTGGATGAGACCATTGACCCCGCTTAATAGGATAATAGTTTTTCAACTTGAAACGTCATTCTAAGATGGTCTCATTCTAAGATAATAGTTTTCGTTTTTCGTTTTTATGCGTGAAACGTCATTCGTTTTTTTTTTATTTTTTATTTTTTATTTTTTGGGTACAGCTACAGCTTAATATGTTTTTTTTCGTACACAGCAGCTTAATATGTTAATGCCACAGCATTTTGTCTTCTTTGACTATTTTACCCCTATTTGACTCTTTTTTTTTTTGTCCCTTTCCATGAAAAATTGAAAATAGGAAAAAAATAAATAAAAATCGAGATCTGGAAACGAAAACGTTGTGCTTCCTCTCCGTTTTCGTTTCCTTCCCCTCCGTAATTGATAAAATGCTAATTTAGCTGCAGTTTGGAGACTAAATATTTAGTTAATTGCAGTTTGTTTATGTTTGTCCTATTAAAGACTACTGTAATATCAATTTCATTTCAGCATTTTTGCTTTCAACAATTCTGACAATAATAAGGACCTATCAATTGACCTTTCGTTTTTATCTGTGGTTTGCAGTTGAGGTTAGTGAAGCTAATCGAAAATGCAGCATACCAATCCATGGAAATTGCACAAACAAATACTGCTGTTGGGATCTCTGCAAAAAGCAGATACGGTACGCGAAGACCGTGGATGCGGCTTATAGGTCCATTAATGGCGCCCATCAGTGCTTCTGTACCGTGATATATAATGGTAAGCCAGGTCCTTGTCCTTAGGCGCCATAAGTGTCATTGATGGCGCTCATCGGTGCTACTGTCACGCGATATATAGAGGTATAAGCCAGGTTCTTGTGCGCCATGAGTGTGGGCAATAGCAAGGATTTTGGCTGACAAAACTTAGAATTTTGCTTCTTACATCAATTTGGATATCATGAATAACTGCACCCTCTGACTTGAAAACCTACTGGTGAAACCTCCTATTCCTCTCCATCCACACATGGTAGAATCTTCTTACCCAGCCAATGCATTAGGCTTTGCCAAGAATCAGTAAAAGGTATACCAG